TTGCTCAGCTACAAGATACATACATTTTGCAAGGTATTAGAAACCAGTCTTTATATTTTATCAAATCCTTGAGACAATAGTCATTATTATAAATACTAATGTACTTGTAATGTTATCTTTGCCGAAATTACAGGAGATTATGATCTAAAGGTCATGCGGCAGGAATTGTATATTAATCGGCAAAAGTTGGTATGATTATAATATATGTGTGTGGAAGATTTCCCTTGTAATTCTCATAACAAATAGCAAATATAAGTAGCAATATTCATTATCAATTTCTTGTTTCGACCTTATACTATTATGTTATGTCTTACACTCTCAAGGTTTGATTAAAGAGACATTTAGTTCAATTAGTGAGAGATAAACCAGGGCATAAGATTCCTGTTTAGAACATCTGCTCGTCCATATTACAAGTAATAAATAGTTGTTGGTTAACATTACAAGTTATATCAACATGCTTTGTTAAGGATTACATTTCTTGTCAAAAAAGTGATTATCCCCCAAAATGGAGTTACGGACACATGATTGTTAAATTTGTGGTTGAAATCATAAAATCATATGACATGATTCTGCAATAACAAATTGACTTGAATCGTACAAAAACACATTTTCGTACTAATAACCTAGATATTGCAGTAATGCTTTTGTAATTAAAATAGCTAGAAAATTGTTGATATGGACTGTGATTTCGTTTATTCCAATGGCAGTGAAACATATCTTTCATGAAAGTGGTGAATGATTCTGTTCCTTTATATAAGTTTTTGTTAAATGTATTTGTTCGCATGATTGTCACTATAAAAATAGTTTCTAAATCTTGTTCATGACCGCATATTATTTAAGTTGTTGGTTTGTTTTAACGATTGAGCTATTTTTTAATATATACGTAGTATTTTTTAAAATCTTATGATTTAGGATTTGATTTAACAATTTGAATTTCAAACTTCTACCAATCCAATTCAAAAGTATGATTTTTACAACCTCTCTTGAACGAAACGAAGCAATATAATTGACCCAGCTTGCATTACCCTTGGAATATGTATACCTCGATGAAATGAACTAAAAACGGCCTAAGAGTAAAATGCTTCACATATTGAATAGTTCAGTATCTGCTCAAGCTGTACTCTGAACATGCAGGAAGAGAATATGGAGTTCACTGTGTACCTCGTATCCAATATTTTAGCAGAAACTTGATATTTTGCTTGTTTTTTATGACCTTACTTATATGTGTTTGCGCTTCCCTTTCCTATGTTTATTATATGATACATGTTTTTGCAGTTTATAAGCCATCTAGTTAAGCTACTTTCTAGGCATCAGTTGTTGAAAATGGCATGTCAACTGGAGAAGAAGACGATGATTGGGGCATACTCGTTGCTTAAAGTCATTGAGTCGGAGCTGCATGGATATCTATCAGCAACCCATGGCCGTGTGGTAAGTGCTTTCATGTATCATTTGCGTTGAACTTCCTCTACCAGGTTTTTTATCTTTACTGTACCAAATCAGGCTACACAAAGGCGTGCAGGGGCCTGGGGGGGGGGGGGGGGGGCATAAACCTTACACCCCTTGGTATAAATAGCTTTCCATTGTGAGACTTTCATACACCTTATGGTGGGAACCCCTAGTTTTAGAACTGGGATGTATTTTGACTTTAAAATGAAACTCAAATCTAAGTTGGACAATTATGCATTGTAAGACTTTCTTAGTCTTATATTGACAGGTGATGCATCAATATTCTGAATATTAGTTAATTACTTTATATTTTTCAGTAGTTACATTTTTTGAATTTCTTTTTTCTTTTGTTAAATGTTGCAAGCTAAAAAATGATACAATTGATGTTTTTACAAAATTCAGGATTACAATTGATTTCATCAGAGTTATATGGAAACATGTTTTCTTAGTTTGATTTCTTAGCTTTTTGAGATAAAAACAGCGAATCAATCTTTGGACATCCCAAGTACATCATATTTAGTTTTTTACTTTTGGGCATTTTAGCATGTTTTTTGTAGCTTAAAGATATAATGTTTCATCGTAGGAGCGGTGTATGGCATTAATTCAAGCTGCATCTGACGTTCAAGAACAAGGGGGGGTGGATGATCGTGACACTTTTCTTCATGGTGTCAGGGACCTTTTAAGCATTTATTCAAGTAATACTCAGTCATGGAAAAAGTCGTAATAGTATCTTTGTTTTTTATGAGTTGTATTCTTATAAACTTGTTTGTTTGGTTAGATGCTCAAGCTGGTTTATCAACATATGTATCTGCACCGGGTATTATTCAGCAGATATCCACCCTTCGTTCTGACCTATTAACTTTGCAGTACGACCTTGAACACAACCTTCCCGAAGACAGATATAAATGTATAAGCAAGATGTAAGTTACATACCATCTTACCATCTTGTCTGGATTGTTATTTTTCATGATGTCTTATGGACTGTCAGCCCATGTGAATCATCTGATGATTTATTGTTGCATGTGCTAGGTGCACTCTTGTCCAAAGTTTGCAGCAACTATTATTTGCATCATCAACAACTGCTCAGCCGATATTGACCCCTAGGGTATTATTATTCGTTAACCATTCATCAATTGTCTATTTGTGTTTTTTTTCCTGTTTTCTATTTGGCTGTCTGTATTATATTAAAAAGGCATTTGAAAAGGGTTATTTGGCTGATATTGCTTTATACTACTTAATCCGCTATTTTTGTAAAAGAAAGGTCGTCATCATCATCATCATCATTACTCTAGTGCCGCGAAGGCTCCAACCTACGGCTACCGAATGGATTCTAAAACACTCCATATATATTTTACTTCTACACTAAATCTCCAGCATTAAGCTAATTCACTTGACTTAATAATTTTGAAAACATTTCCCTGTTTCAAAATGCATGCAGACATTAATGAAGGAGCTTGATGAAATGGAGAAGGCCAATGCAAAGCTCTCAGCTGCAGTTGAGAAAGTGACTCATGAGCACTGGAAGAAGAATGAGGTGGGATTTGCTTATCATGATGGCACTACTGTTATCTTATTAATATTATTATCCAAGCACTATTTTTCAAAACTGCAGTTACTTCTCCAAGTTTTCATTGTTCTATTTCAGTTCCAAATGTCATGTTATCAAGTGATTACATATGGTGCCAACCTATATACAATAATAAACACTCCTCATTTATCTCGCCTTGCAGATTATTAAACATCACAAAGAGGAGGTGACACTTCAGAGACGCATTTTTGTCGATTTCTTCTGCAATCCTGAACGGTTGAGGAATCAAGTCAGGGAGCTCACTGCCCGTGTTAGGGCTTTGCAAGCATCATCATAGAGGCCCTTGATTTGAATACATTGTACATGGTGAACAATGTTTAATACGGAGTACTTGTATTGCCCTCGTGGGTTGTTTGGTTCACAGAGTGAATGGTATTCTGAGATCATGAGCTTACCACCCCTTTGGAGGTTATACTGTTATAGGAATGCAACATTACCTTAAGTTATATTGTTGGGGTCTTGGGGGTAAAGTTGAAAGAGTCCAAAACACTACTGGTGTTTAGCTAATCTTCTCACAAGTTCGAACAGAAAAATAAATCCAAGACAGCTAACCGGGGGTGATTTCACATTAACCAATCAAGATGATCTCAAACTACCGTTACTGCATTATCAAAGTGATGTTCAGATTACTTAAACCTAACATCTTCTTAGGTGAAATAATATGAAGAACTAATTCTCTATTGGATTTTGGGATTTTCTTCTTGAATGATGGAACATTCACAAATGGAACAGAAGGTCTACTTGTCAATCAAATAATCCATAGTTTGAGACATGGACTTGGCATAATTATTTAAAAATGTTGGAAGGCCATAAGTAGACTTTGACGGATGTGACTTTCTGGGAGTTCTTATGAAAGGTTAGATCGTTAGATAATAAAACCCTTGTCAAGGAGTTCTATACTTCTATTGTCAAGACACGGGCAGAATGAGATCATTTTTCATAAAATGCTCAAAGTCTCATCTCATTGTAGTAGGGGTGGATTCGGGCCGGGCGGCCTGGAACCGGCCCGGTTCAGTCACTGTTTGAACCGGCCCGAACCGCCGGCCCGGTCAGGGACCGGTCCGGGTAGGCCCGACCCGCTAGGGTTCTGGGCCGGGCTCGGGCCCTTGAAAAGGTGAACCGGCCCGGCTGGTCCGGGCCTATTTATTTATTTTTTCTTTTTTCTTTTGAATTTTTTTTAAGTTTTTGGGTTGGGCGGGGTATTTTGGGTCATTTGAGGTGGTTTGGGGATGATTGAGGGTTAATTAGGAAAAGCCAAAAAAAATTAAGTTGAACCGAGGCCCGGCCCGGCCCGGCCCGAACCGGACCCGGGGGTTACCCGGCCCGGCCCGAACCGGACCCGGGGGTTACCCGGACCGGTTCCGGGCCTCCGCTTTCATGAACCGAGGCCCGGCCGGGCCCAGGCCCGAACCGGCCCGAGTCCACCCCTACATTGTAGTCTTAGGTTATTCATTCATTTGTTTTTTTTTTTTGCTATCATTTGATGAATAAATTAGTTACTCATCATAAAAAAAGAACATCCACTGATTTACACAACGGTTTCCGTATTCACTTATTTCACTAGCTTCCACTCATCATAATTCATAACATGAAAACATGATATTCATCATCAATTATACTAGACTTGCTATGTCACATAAACATGAACACAATATATGACACGAGACCAACACAACTACATGTAACTGATGTAAGGAACACAACAAATAAACGAAGGAGCATAATTAACATTTAATGATGAACAACTTTTCTATCCACACAATCTGCCAAGTCCTTATTTGTGTATGCTGAGATATAGACACACAAGTAGGCAAGTGCATTGGTAAAAGTGTGGCTGGCAAGTGGCAATATGGTAAATATCAAGATTTGGCGCATAGGCTGTCTCTACTGTTACTATGGTAGTTTAATTCCGTACATGTACTGGTGTACAAAACTAAGTGATCTCCGGGAGATGAACTCATAAGGTAGATACTAGATAGGGATAACAATTTTTTGGGTTAACAATTTTTTGGGTTGAATTTTATTACACGTATAATTACATTTGTACCCTTCTGCATCATCAACCATGGTTACATACGTGTGTGTAACATGTACATGTATGATGTATCAATGTTTGAATCCAATGCACATGAATTTTCAACAGCACTACTTAAGTAAATATTTACATAAAAAGAAATAATAAGAACTATTGAAATATGTAGTAGAATCTATTATAGAGGTATTGTTCTCAGAATTCTAGAATGACCATTTATCTTTTGGAGCTTCCTTCTCTGAGAAGATCAAGTACTGGTTTTGCTAGAACGCACAGGGAAAGGAACAACATCTCTAATATCATTGCGTCCAGTGGCGAAGAGAACAAAAGAATCAAACATTACACTGAAACCAGAGTGCTCAACAGTACCATGTCTTCGAAGATCTAAGTACCACTCATACTGTTGTTTAGGCAATCCAACCTCCTCTATCCTGAAAACATTTGGAAGTTTGGCTTAGCTGACAATGGTTTAAAAGGCCAGTGTAAAGTGAAAGGCCCTTACCTAGAGCTCATAGTCTTCAAGCGTTCCTCACTTTGGCTTCCACTAATCAAAAGTCCAACCTGAACCATGTAAAGCTTGGGATCAACAAATGATGTTATTGTCACTTGTCAGGGCAGAGCAGTAAGTCCCAGAAAGTATTATCCATTCATATAATATTTTAAAGCAAAAAAAGAAGTAAAATGGGTATTGTTGTAAACATGGATTGATAAAGAAGATGAAGCAATTGAATGCTTCAATTACCTTTGGAAATAATATATCAAATGATGCAACTGTTTTTGCATCATCATTGAGACGCACATTGAATGGTTTCAGATTCTTTGGATGGTTGTATATAAAGATCGGGCCTTTATAGATTTCATCCACCAGATAACTGTCACCGGAAAGACAACACTAATGAGAAATTCAATATATCTTTGACTGGATTGGATAAATCATATGGTATTAAAAAACTAATTTGATACCTTGTGTGTTCATCACTGAGTTGAACTCCCCATTCTATAGGTTTTCCAAATTTCTTTTCAGTGGCCTGTTAACAACATCAAAAAGACATAATATTGGAAAGTTGTGATTTTTCAACATTTAGAGTGCTCTTTGGGAGCTAAATGTGGCTTATTCCACTTATCAGCTGAACGGCCACAATAAGCAGAATCAGTAGTACCTTTCACTTTCTAACATTTTTCCTTTTAAAAATCAATAGATTCAGCCATATCAGCCAATTAACCCTTACCAAATGGGATCTTAGCTATGCAGTATGCACTAATAAATGGGACAAAGAGACCTTTACCAGTTTTAAATCATTCACGGCTTCTGTATAAGAAACTCTTTTGAGTGAACACGATGTAATGAAATTAAGGTGCTCCATAACTGTTATACTTTTATTGGATCGTTTTGAGAGAAACTTCACATCTTCGGTTGAATTTTCTAGAACCGATTTGCATATAAATTTTAAGAGGTCATCGGCACAGTTCATGGCATCCTGGAATCCAATGGAAAAATGGGTAATATGGTCAGCAAGGAAAAATCGAGAAGTGTGATTGATTTTTTTTATTTGGGGCAATCGTGAAATACGTGCCTCTAATTTAGAGAAAGCCATTTCAGTTTCAACCACCAACATCTCTGGTAATGACTTCTTCGATTCTGATTTCTTCTCTTGAAACCTGGGACCAGAAGTGTAAACATTTCCAAGTGCACACGCTTGACTCTCTAGATGAAGGCGACCGGAAGCAGTCAGATGCATCTGGCGATAAAATGAATCTTTAGAAAAGTGGATTAAATATCATTTTCGAAGTAAAATTCCAGACCTTTATTCTACCTTGCTGCCCAAACATGATATAACCTTCTTCATCATCTCTAGATCCATCTTCGCAGCAACCAAGGCTTCGTTGTTACTTTCACTTCTCTCAAGTTTTTCTATTAGTTTAGATTTTTCTTTGATGGAAGCTGTAATGTGTTCTAGAGTATCCATTCCATCATACTTGTCCTTTTCTAGTAGAGTTGTGACTGCAAATTTCTTTCTAGATCCGCTTGTGTTGGTGCTAGTCATTGTAGGCATGTGCACATACAGAAATTCATTTTCTCGGAAGAATGTATGAAATGCTTGATTCATGGCATCCCGAATTCGCATTATGGAAGCCACCTGCAAAACCAAACAACTTGATAAAGAAACCAAGACATAGCACCATGATGAAGCTACTGTAAAATCTGTTTGTAAAGTCCATTAAGCATAGGTGATAAAGTCCCAGGATCGTAAGGGCAAATTTGTTTAATATTATAGCTAGTATTGATCAAATTGCTGAAATATGAAAAGTATAGTCAAACTACATAGTTTTATAGGAGTCATAAATAAAAGAATAATTAAGGTATATGAGAAAAAGCTAAAAGTATTATCTTCAGCTACTTTAGCAAAATTAACACCGCGAAACCTAGTTGTTGTCGTATCTAACTTAGTCGGTCAACAGAATAAATGAATAAGTGCTTGGTACAAGATATTTTTAAAATAGTGGCTACCAAACGACCACAAAATTTTCAAACCAAATCCATGTTTTGAGCATAAGAACTAGGAGTAGTATCTACATAAGTGGATTTAGAATAAAGCAAACAATCTTAGTGATATTAGTAAAAAGGATGGGTGTGCAAAAGTTGAAAACTGAAAATAGAATCACCGTTGTTGTTCTAGCTCGGAGGTGAGACCAATCCCATAAATAGTCCATGGATAAGCCTTTCTTTGATAGTGGATACTTCATCTGATCAACGGTCCCAAGATGCAAAACTTTGTCTGCTTTGAATTCAATAAGATGTTTCCCCTGAGACGCTGGCTGCTGCAATGTACCTTCTGCTACTATGCACGTTCCAGTAGGCATGACTTGAGAAGGAATTGCCAGCTCCGAGTCCACCAGTACCTATACAATATCCGGCATTACGTTTGTCAAAAAAAAGTGAAAGAGGCATTTTATCAAACAGAAAGACATCATTTTTCAGCATACCCGAAGACTGTGCAAAGAGGAGCCATCGCTCACTTTCAAAATCATAAATGAAGGGAGCTGCGGTTTTTGCACATCATCCGGTTTATCATGAACCCGAGAATCCCCATCTCCTCTGAAAGCCTTAAAGATTGACCGGAGAAGTGGAAATCGAGACAGAACTTCCCCACAGCTCACGTCTTTAGTCCCCGCAGCCAGGGGAATGCCTGTATCCTTCTTGATCTCCTGGGAGGACTTAACCCACCCTCCAATCACCATTCTCTGGCCGACAAATCCCAGCCCGCCATCGCTGCGTTCAAGTATAGTTTTTAAGATTACCCTATTGGTATACTTATTGGTTCTTCCCGTGGCTGCTGGTTCTGGTAAGGACATTTATTCTCGTCAACAAGATACGGGATAGATTTCTTTGTTCGGTTTGGGTATTGCAATTCGGAGGGTGTGAGTTTATTCTGCTGAGAAGGGGTTCCATATGGGATTATATATGTACTAATGGGAGAATCCATAGTATGATAGAGGATGGATGCTTTACTTGGGAAGCAAATGGGGGAATTGAAGAAGAAGAAGAAGAAAGAAGGAGAAGGTTTTAGGATGTTTGAGGGAGAAGAGAAAGGATTGTTTCTAGAAGTGGCCATTGTTTAGGCTCATAGCGGCGGAGAGAAAAAGGTTTGGCATACTTCAAAGCCTGGTGATTATTCCGATCACAATTGCAGGATTGTGGCTTTGCGCAAGCTTGCTTGGAAGGGATCAACATAACCAAAGCAACTAATTTCGTTTTTTGAATTGAATTGTTATGCAAGTGAATTGAATTGTTTATTGAATTTTGGGAAAAGAAGCAAATAAGGCCACATACTAACCAAAAAAAGTCAAAAAATTCTATCGGGAGCCACCCCAAATGGCGATGGCCGGACAGGACCTCTTAAATAAGGCCTTATTTGACCTTTTTTTTGTTAGTACGTGGTCTTATTTGCCTCTTTTTTCTTGAATTTTTTAATTTCGTTTTTTTGCTTGTGTCTTAGGCTTTGTTTTCTACCACTTGTGCTTAAATAAAAGCACTTTTTGATAAAAAGTGATTAGTAGTAAAAGTTGGTAGTGTTTAGTAAAATAAGTGCTTTTTGTGTAATAGAAAAAGTAAAAAGTAGATTGTACACGGAAGCCGAGAAAGTAAAAGTTGGTAGTGTTTGATAAAATAAATGTTTTTTTCTTAAAAAAAAGTCAAAATCACTTTTCTTGCAAACAAAGCCTATTAGATTTTGCTAATTTACATTTTTTACTCGTTCAAAACTTTCGAACTTTTTTAAGTGATGAATTTGTGTTATATTTATTTCCGTCTCTTCCGTACAAATATTGATCACAAATTTTTTAATACTGAAACAACTTCATTAATATTACTCTTTAATGGTATGTAAGTTACTACGTATTAAACATTACTAGCGTTTGCTCGCGCAAGGCGCAAGAATATTTGCCAAATGTTAAAGTCATACTCTTTTTATGAGAGATTATTATACATGAGATTGCTATGACGAGTTTTAAATAATGTATATAATTATCCTAAACTTTTGATTAATTGTTTCATCAATTATATGCTCAACTCACCAAGTACTGCGTGAAAATTCTGCCTATATTTTTTAAAGCTATGTTATTTTATTGAATTGGCCAAATTTTTTGGTTTAATTATGAAACAATTGTAGTGATAACAGGATTTTATAATGAATTGTGTCGACCGTGTTATTAAACACACTAAATTATGTGAATATTGGGCTATTATATGTAAGTGTAGATGTTGAGTGTAGAAATATAAAAAAATCAAATTATCGGTGCTCAACAAGCAAGGAGATATCTTGTATGGGACTGGCTGGGAGATAAAATTGATATAATAAAAGTAGGGGTTTTGGAACAAGCTCTTAAATTGTGTGATTAAGATCTACTCCATGTTTTATATTTGGTGAAAATAATTTAATATCCTAAATTTTGAATAGGTGTGAGATGAGTACCGCAAACACTCACATGTAATATATATACCCCATACTTTATATAAAAAGTTATGTTAGCATCATGAGTATATATCTTATCATAGATGTAATTTTATGGTGTTAATTACATAATTTAAAATACACAAAACATTTACGAGAATGTAGTTAAAATTAAATTGTAATGGATGTAATATTATTTAGGGAAAAAAGAATGGAAAAAGTATTTGTCGTTGGGCCCGTTTTCAGATAGGATCATGTGTTTCATTTTTATCAAAGTGGTTCGTGTGTTTAAAAGGCCCAAATTTAAATGCTACACAAGATCCGAAAATCTTAAATATTGTACACATGATCAAAATTGATTAGAAAGCAAAGTGATGCATCGATGAGGTCCGATTATTACTCCCTCCGTCCCATTTATATTATCCCGTTTTATCATTTCGGGAAGTCTCACTTAAATTGTCTCATACCATATTTGGTAAAGTTTGTGTGGCTCAAAATCATTCTTACTTTATTCTTACTTTATCAATTAATATCAACCACACAACCCACTTTTCTTAAAACTCGTGTCATTCTCTTCCGTCCCAATATAAAAGGGACGGAGGTAGTACTTTTTAGTAATGTACTACGTACGTAATTCACAAGCCAAGCTCATATATCACTAACTCATCAAGTACTCCATATTATTTAACAACTAACGGAGTTAAGGGTAAAATAACCACTTAAAAAGTGAGGTTTCATTTTCTAAAAGTAATGTACAACTCTCCAAGCTCAAAGTGTGTTGACATAAATTAAGGGTACTAACACCTATTCTCAATTATAATGTTTTTAGAAACATCATAGTATATTCAACTATAATTTCATAAATTATACTACGTAACAGAATAAATTAATTAAGTCATTTTTAGTATTATCAAATGGACTCTCAATTAAAATAATTATTCCAATCTTACTTTTTTTATTACACATACTTTTGGAATGAAAAATTTATACCTATTCTCCAATTCAACTTTGCCAAGTTGATGTGTGTGAAATCAGAATATTAAAATAGTTTCCCCTCAAATATTACTAATAAAAGAAGTCATAAACAAAAAAATATTACAGTACTTTGTAACTACGACGTATTAGTGATTTCATTAAAAAAAGTAATTATTAGTGATTATAATTGCGTTCAAAATTTACATTATAGTAACTTACATACAATTAAAGAGTAAGGCTTTGTTTACAAACAATTAATTTAAGTGCTTTTGGCTTTTTTTAAAGAAAAAAACACTTATTTTACCAAACAATAACAACTTTTACTATCTCGGTTTTCGTGTAGAATCTACTTTTTACTTTTTCTATTACACAAAAAACACTTATTTTATCAAACACTACCAACTTTTAGTACTAATCACTTTTTCCCAAAAAGTGCTTTTATTTAAGCACAATCACTTGCAAACTGAGCCTAATATTAATGAAATTGTTTCAACAGAATTTCATCAATTTCATATATTCGATTAGAATTTCATCAATTTCAACAGATACAACTCATTAAACAAATTTGAGTGTCATCAAACACGGTCTAGAATTGTATATTCATAAAATAAAAAATAAAAATGAAATCATCATTGAGAACTGCATAAATTTGTTAAAATGATGTCATTTTTTGTTTAAATATTAATTTCAAAAATCATGCATGAACCGATGAACATCATATATTTTTGTTTCAATATTTTTCATTAGGTAAATTTCATGCAATGACAAATGTAACTCGTGCACAGAAATCTAACTCGTGTCACTCCCTCCATCAGTTATACTCTCACCTCTCACATATGAAATATAAATCACATATATGTAAAAGGTATCTCGAGGCAAGTCAAAGTATAAATCGTGTAACGGAAATGTAACTTGTGTGGAGAGTCGAAATGTAAATCACATTACTGAAATATAATTTGAGGAAAGTTAAAATGCAAACCGCTTTAGTGAAAATATAACTTAATAAGGCAAGTCAAAATGTAATACTTGTTAATTAAAATTTAACTTTAGACAAGTTGAAATGTAATCGCATTAGCTTAAATGTAACTTGAAAAAGGTTAAAATGTAAATGGCATTATGAAAGTGCAACTTGACAACTTAAAATGTAAAGACGTCTCATATAAGACTTGGCTTGAAGAAAAGTTATGGACCTTCACATACAATGATACAAATAATTTGTTTTAAATTAATAAAACTTTTGTTTTGAATTGATGGAGAAAAATATAGATATTTTTAAGATGAAGAAAAGCAATATTACATAACCCGAATTAAGACAACGTAGAAAGCTAAATCATCGTCTCCGTGAAACTGAATTTTAGAAACTATATCAGCGATCAACATAGATTACCAATATTTTAATGGAGAAGAAAAGAAAGAAGAAGAATGTTAAAATGTCTCACACCAGAAAAGTTTGGATGAAAGAAGTGTTATATTAACACATGAGCTACTCCTCCTAACAGGTTGACCTTTAGGGTAGAACCATGTGTCTTAACATGGTATTAGAGCCAAATTGATCCATGGTGTGGGACCCCTTATGAAACGTGATGACACGATTATAAAAAAAAATGACAATTACGACTGGATGAAAAAAAACGGACCGATGAAAAAAAATGAATGAAGGCACGATCCAGACGAAATGTCTGATCGTGATGAGGGGTGCTAAAATGTTCCACACCGGAAAAGTTTGGATGAACGAAGTGTTATATTAACACATGAGCTACTCATCCTAACATGTGACCTTTTAGATTGGAACCATGTGTCTTAACAGAGAAAAATTGGGATTCTGAAGTTGAGAAAAACTAAGTTGTGGTTAGATTCTCAAAAACAATTATGTAGGAGAAGATAATTGAATAAGAGAGAAGCAGAAGAAAATTAAAAAAGTCGATGAAAGAGATGGCCAGAGAAATTGACGACGGATGGGAATAGATGACCAAGAATAGGGGTGGTCAAAAATAGCGAAAAATCGGTATACCGCACTTACCGTCGTAAATTATACGGAGTATCATACACCCGGATGTACTGTACATCCGGGTATTTTTGTAATTCTTTGTACTTCCATCAGTATTCTTTCTCGGCTCCCTCCGTATGTGGACTACAGGCCCTGCTTTTATGGAGATGCGGCCCAGCTTTTATGGAGATGCGGTCAGACATGATGAATAGCTTTTTGTGTAGTGCCCTTCATCCGCCTTCTTTTTCTTAACCTCCTGCCTTTTGCTTTCTAGTTTCTACGTACTTCATTTTTTTTCTTTTACCTTTTTTTAACCACCTTTTCCATTGATTTTAATTTATGATGAAGATTTAAGGTATTAATGTTTTTTATTTTTAATTTATGATGAATATTTATTGATTATTAAATATTACTAGTATGTGCTAATTACTAACATGAATTTTGTGTTATACTAAAATAAGTATTGTGTAAAATAAATATGCATGAGTGAACATGATAAAAAGAATCCGATTATATTTTTAATTACATAATGAAGGACTATAAATTACTTTTAATATAAAATTAGTATATTGTCATTACTATATTTGTCATTGTAATATATGTGCACAAATGAACATTTAAACACATTAGAGAATTCAAACGAGCTTTTGAATTTTGTGATGCTCATTTTGTAAGTTATGTATGTTCATATGATACTGGTTTTATGCTCATTTTAAAATGTTATATTAATGCATATTACAAAAGTATTATATTAGATTCGCATAAGAGTTAGATTACATACATGTGAGCAGAAATCATAATACATAATTGAATGATTCTGATACTATATAGAAGAGGTTTGATGTTTATTGAAAATTTTCGATGC